AGGAATGCCAAATAGCCTTTTATTACTATTTTGTGTCCTTCATTCAATTTATTGCCGGTCATATACTTTATAATCTAAATCTTGTCCCAAAATGCGTGAGTTTAAGTTTTAGAGGGAACTTTGACAAATATTTATATTATTACTGTGTACAATTTTTTCCGATTTATACGTACACATATTCAAAGACATTGTGTAAAATTTAAGTAACTGATCATATTTTTGATCTGCTATCGTAAGATTAAGGTGAGTCAACAAGGTGTATTGGGAATTTGATAACTTTGCATTGCCTATATGATTATAATATAATCCTACATATTTATCTAAACGAAAGATTTAATAGTAGGGTTTGTTAATTTCATCGCCGTGATTGGAGTTAGGTAGTACAAAAGCCATTACCAGGAGGATCTGGAGATGGTATTTTTCATTCATCTTTGTCTTCTGAAAACAAAAGGTTTCAGCAAATTAGTGTGATAGGTTAATAATTTCCTATTTTTCAAGATTTGAACTGTATTATTAGGATTAACTTTTGTTATTTTATAAGGACCTTTATAATTTGGTGAGAGTTTTTTATTTAGTCCCGGTGTATTTTAATTCAGTTTTTGTTTTAAATTAACTATATAATCATCATACGAATAATTAAGTGTTGGTTTCTGAGTTATATTACTAGGTAAATATGCTTTACTTCCAAAGAGTGTACACATGTGTATACTGTGTATGCGTATACAATATGTGTACGCATATGTATTGTAAGCCATCATTGCAAAAATTATGAACTCATCCCAATCTGTCTGTTTTCCGTTGATGTAATGTTTCAGGTAATCTTTTAGGGTTATATGTGACCTCTTTAAAGCACCGTTGGTCTGGGGATGATAAGGGGAGGATAGTAAATGTTTCGTATTAAATAACTTAGTTAAATCTTTCATTAATAGCGACATAAAATCAGTTCCCTGATCAGTAAGTATAGTTCTAGGAATTCCGAACAACGTTATAAATTTAGATAGCTCAGTAGCGACGGTTTGCGATTCATGATATTGAATGGGTAAGGCATATGAAAATTTAGTTAAGTCGTCCTGCATGGTCAATATAAAACGATTATTGTTTAGGGTCTGCGGCAAAGGCCCGACAATGTCGAGTGCGAGTCTTTCGAATGGTTTATTAGACGTGGACGTAATTTCCATTGGGGCTTTTGAGGGTCGGAAATTAGTTTTATTGACTTGGCAAGACGGACATTGCTTTATATATTGTTTTATGTTCTTCTTCATTGTATCCCATCTATAAAATCCTTTAATACGTTTATATGTCCTAAGGAAACCCGAATGGCCTGCTAGTTTCGAATCGTGATTTCCTTGCAAAATTCTTATAATTTCATATCTTGATTGAGGAATAATTCGTTCTGAATTTAAAATAATAGGTGTGATATTCATATCTTTGAAAATGTAATATATAATTTCACCAAACCTGTCCTTTTTTATATTCTTATTATTAATAGTAACATCATGAATATAAAGATTCCCGGTATAATTTATTTCCTGTAAATGCCTGTTCAAATTTTGCAATGAATAAAATACTTCCTTATACTCTAGTTTATCAAAATGAAATAATTTACTGATACATAAATATGTTACTTCAGAACCTTTAACAAGCTTAATGGACGAGTGTAACTCGTATTCATTTCGTATTGTTTCCGAAAACAAATTATTATCATCCAGGTTTTTTGAATAAAATAGTATGTTAGGAAAATATTTGAATTTATCACAAGCAATGAATTTGACTTTTGGAATATCAAGATTTTTATAATGAAATTTTATGAAACTTTCAAAAGAATGATCATTTTGAATTATATTTATTGCTGGAAATCGAGACAATGCATCCGCCGCGTTCGAATTAAATTTCCCTGCTTTATATGCTATTTTATAATTATAATCTTCTAATTTTAGTCTCCAGCGTATTAGTCGACTTCCTGGGTCCTCGCAGTTAAATAACCAGGTTAGTGGTTTATGATCTGTTACGATCGTAAATTGTCTGCCGTATAGATAGGGCCTAAAGTGTTTAATATTCCACACAATAGAAAGTAGCTCTTTTTCTGTAGTACTGTAATTTTGTTCCCTCTTATTTAATGTACGAGAAGCGTACGTGTTCGGAAGGTCATTTCCAATTGGGCCTTGGCTCAATACGGACCCTATTGCATAATTGGAAGCATCTGTAGTAAGGAGGAATTATTTACTAAAATCGGGATACTGAAAAATCGGTGCGTAGTGAGTATTTGTCGAAATTCATTGAAGGATTTTGTTTGCTCAGAAGTCCACTCAAAAGGCATATCTTTTTGAAGTAAAATAGTTAACGGTTTGGCTATTTTCGCAAACTCTTTTATAAATCTTCGGTAGTAACTTATAAGACCGAGACGACGAAAACTTTGATATCTTTTTGACTTTGAAGAATAGGAAATTTAGCGATAGCATTAATTTTATCTGGATTTGGCTGTACGCCTTTACTGGATATGACATGGCCTAAATATGCCAGCTCTTGCCGCATAAACTTAAATTTTTCTGGCTGTAGCTTTAGATTATTTTCTCGTATACGATGAAAAATAGCTCTTAATTTCAGAGAATGTTCCTCGATTGATGATGCATAAACGACAATGTTAAAACCCAGTTAAAATTGAATTCATCACCCTTTGAAAGGTAGCAGGAGTATGTTTAAGCCCAAATGGCATTCGTGTAAATTCATAGTGACCTAAAGGCGTTGTAAAGGCTGTCTTTTGTTCATCAGAATTTCACATGGGTATTTGGTGAAACCCGGAAGCTAGATCTAAAATTGTGAAATATTTTGAATGGCCTAACTGATCTAGTATGTCCTCAATATTAAGCAATGGGTATGCATCACCGATTGTTACATCATTTAACCGTCTATGATCTATCACGATTCTCCATTTTCGTTCACCAGATGAATCTGCTTTTTTGGGTACGATCCACAAAGGATAGGACCATGGAGAAACTGAAGGTTGAATTATCCCTTGCTTAAACATTTTATCAATTTGATAAAATGTTTAAAATCTTAAGAGTGAGATTGTCACAGCTCACGTTCTCCTCCGACAATTTGTCAACCAATTCCGTAATTCAATCCATTCGCTGATTACTTACGAAATTATCAACAACTAATGATAACAATTAAAACATGATAGTGTATACAGGGTTCAGAGATTTATCCGACCATCTCACATATTCTAGAATTCTCGCAGTTCCATTAACCTGAAATGTATTTTGGGGTAGTGATGAATATACTAATCAGTCTAGAAAAAGAAATTAATTTTCAATGTGTAAATTATTTATTAGCTCAATGAATAATTCGGTATACGGTTCATGTGGTATCCCATTTACCGCCATTTTCATCGTGCCAACCGAAAACAGAGATCCTTGAAACATCGTCAAGACGAAGATGCGCCGTAAAAGAGTACAACCGCAAGTGCAAAAAAGACAGACTTATGCGACGGTTTCCGCGCAGTCGAGTAGAGTCGGCTTCCCTACGTTGCTGCTATAGTGGGGGAGATTGTTTCGCCAATCGTTCAATGGGCGACGATGGCACCACTGAACAATGACTGATACACGCTGGCTGTTGACAGATCGGTGACTAATTGTGTTTATTACTCATTTCAAACGTTCAAACCCGCAAATTTGGTTGCTTGTCGAGTACTGAAATAAATGTTAAACTGATTGTGGTTCTTTCATGTAAGTGTGGTATAAGTTTCAGTGACTTCTGTGGTCAAGTGGTGGGGGGCCTTTCCCCTACGCTTCTTCTCCCCCAACGGGAGTCGACTTTGCTCGTGGGTGTACTACGAATTTTTTACTGAAACGTTACAATAGCATTCTTGAGATGTTATACGATGAAAACACACATCAAACAAAAATCGATTTTTCCCAAAATTTCGACTGGAGGGTACTTTTAATATGTCGTTAACAATGCCTCGGAGAACTTTTTCGCTCTACACCCCTTTCAAGGACTTACTCCTATTTTGGGACACCCTATACAGATGTTACCCGGCCGAGAGGCTCGAGAACACAAAAGGTACTTACGAGAAAGATGAGGGACGGCATCGGCGTTAAGTTCCGTACGTTGATGAGGGAAATGGCGGCCGGCAGGTGTCCATTCCTCGCCCCAACGAAGAACAATCGCGAGGACGCAAAAATCGCTCCGTTCAGGGCCCCGAACGTCGAGCAGGCTACGAAGAACGGCATTATCCAGGACATCACGCCCAGTAATTTGTCGCCGAACGTCTGCGGAACAATCGCAACGTTCGTTACAATTAAATGAAATAATCAAAAATGTGCGTTTTCTTAACCCGCCTACGTACACTAAGTACATGGTCAGATTCTAACTAAAAAAAAAAACGTTTTACAGTAGATTATATCCAGCACTATTTTGTATTAATTTAAAAAAAAAATGAATTTAATTAGTTTAATATACATGGTGATTTTAGTAACTTGGCCGGGTTACAGCTCTGTTCCAAGTGAAGTTAGAAAAAAAATCAGAGGAAAATTTTGCATTCTTTACTGAGCTTTCTAATCTCACTACATTATTTTTTTCACAAGTGCCTCGGTGCGCTTGCAAAATGCAATTGCTCTTCTCCTTTTTGAATGGGACACTACGACGTTTTTTTTTCATAGATTTGTTCTTCGACTCTTTCTATACATAAATGACACTAAGCAGAGTCACTGAGAATAGAATACTTTACGAAATATTTCATTTTTTCGAAAAGTTAGAGCAATTACTCAAACGTTTCACTATTAGATTCTAAACAGTTTTCTTACATTTTTCATTATATTGTTTAGTTGTTCATTTTGCATGTTTAAACAATTACTTTTAATTCTTTGTTTTAAATCATTTGTCAAAAGAACAAAATATGAACACTGGTATCGAACAGTACGATGCCAGTAAATACGATATGGACGTGTTGATTCAACGGTACTTTTGCAATTGCGTAAAAAATGCAATATCTCGTAACGTATTGTGTTTTCAACGACTTATTTACCTTTATATCTTTTATACGCAGAATGACACAAGGAACCAATCTATTAGAAAAATCGCAGTGTCCCATTTACCAAAAAAGAGCGATTGCATTTTGTAAGTGCATCGATGCACTTATGAAAAAAATAATATAGTCGGCTGATAGAGCTTGTTAAAAAATGCAAAATTTTTCACAAGCTTTCATGACTTCTTTTTACCTTCACTTGGAACAGAGCTATAGCCCGATCCATGTACTAGAATCACTCTGTACATGAACTTTACGTACTTGAAGTGTATGCACGTTGTATAACATGTGTTTTATATTTCTGAATAAATATTTTTTAATAATTTCACAGTTAAATCCAAATATGGGGGGACTTCTGTCGAATTTTTCTGTATTCGAATATTCGAATACATCAGTTGTTCAATTCTTGACGAATATAATTCAAACAGTATTCAAATATCAGAGTAGCCATTTGGCTACATACTATTCGACTATTTCAGTATTCGAATAGTGATCAAGTATGTATTCAAATAGTAAAATGTTGACTATAAATCAAGTTTATTAACCTTATTAGTCTTGTTTTAAATTTTATTTTCATTTAAGATATTGAACAATATTTCTGTTTTAGTAAAGGAAGGGTAATGTTGTGATGCAGCTCATGTGATAAACGTCGTACGTTCTAAATAGCATAATCTATTCTTAAATGCAGTGGAAATCTTTGAAGGACGACTTATATTTTTATCACGTTTTTATTAACTCGCTTTCTTGTCTGTTTTTTTGTCTGTGAGTTTGGTTTTTTAGAGTTTTTTTACGTGGACGAACCTGTGCCTATTTCATCACAGGGAGCCACTAGGAAAGATTTTCGTGGACGAACCCGAGCCTATTTCATCTCAGGGAGCCACTAGGATTGTTAGTATGGGCCTCGTAATTTTTAAGAATTCGGTACACTTCGAGCGGTAAAAGTGTGCCTTTGTGGGTTCGCTTCTAGCTTGGAATTTAGATGTTATTCTAGAGTTGAAATGAACAACACTGAATTATTAATATATGAACGTATAAAAGTATATTCAATAAAATAAAGGTTTTACAAATGGTACTGTAACGTGTAGTCGCGGAAGCTAATTCCAACGTTCTCGGTTTTCACGCACTGAGAAATGCGGGGTTCTGTCGTACAGAGTTTAAGCTTACTTTTAAAAATGTTAGAAAGAGACTTTAATACCCGATCTCACTAGCTAGACTTCTAGTATGATTATGAAACACCGATGAGCTGTACGAATCCCTTTTTATATCCCGAAAAACTTGTCTAAAAGTAGTGGGGGACACGCCTGTTCTCAACGGAAAACTGTTTTCCAAGAAAATCTGGCCACGCCATAACACCCCGTGAGCAATTACGTAATCCGGCCGGATGCATTCCATCTTCCGATAGGGTTAAAAGGTCACGAGAGTGTCTTCGTACGTAACACGTATGAACGTTGTTCGACTTCATGGAATAAACTTAATAGAATATTTGACTTTTTTTTAATTGTTATTTACAGAGAATTTAACAATAATGTAACTTTTTTAAAGAAACTACATATGTTTAGTATTATCATGTTATTGAGAATTTCAATTCGAATTCAATGACATATTTGAAAGTTTTGTTTGAGTAATAATTTTTCGGATAACTGTACGAATGTTGCTGACAAATGTCAAGTTCGAATAGCATCGTTTTTTTTTCTTTCATACAGTTATCTGAGAAATTATTACTCAAACAGAACTTTCAAATGTGTCTTTGAATTCATCTTAAAATCGTTTATAACACGTCATTAATAAAAAGATATAGTTCCGTTTAAAAACATTATATTATTATTAAAATCTCTGTAAATAACAATAAAAAAAATTCGAACATTCTATTAAGTTTGCTCCATTAAATAAAACAACTTATATATAAAACATTTTTTCGTATTCGTAATAGTTAGATTAATATAATAGCATGTATACATTTATACCGGGCCTACTTGTATACTACATTGTATACGGATGTGTCAAACTGCCGTTCAGGCCGGGCGAGAAAAGCAGAACATTCTTCCTTGCTAGTGAAACCGGGGGACAATAATGCATGTGTGAATCGTTATGTGCAGTCGCGAGTGTGTGTGTGCTGTGCGTCATCATGGTGTCCAACGTAGTTCCTAAAGTCGGAAACTTTTATGTAGAGTGCGCTCGAATCAGCGTGATTTTCGTGGGACACTAAGTCCCATCTGTCCCATAAGATGTTAGGTCTATTCTTATATCTCGTCTGTGGTACTACGAATATCTACATAAATACCAGGAGTGTGCGGGTACCCGAAATCACGAGATTCCCGAGACTCAGGTCGATTCGGGACAAGTTAGGCGAGAGCGGCCGGGATCCCGACAGATGTCGGGTCCTGTAACGCATTCGGGTCCCGAATGATATTTTCGAGAACTTATCCGTCTAACGGCAAGAAATTATACTATACAATACGATGCCATACTGAATCTTCAGGTTCATGATATGAACTATAAATGCTAAATAATTTAACGATTCCAAATGGAATCCTGCGGTTGGACAGAGTTAATAATACAATCTTCAGTACACATTTCTTCGTACGTTATGGTTTTTATTAAGTAAAGTAAATAATGTGGCAGTATTAGGGACATTTAATCTACCATACACCATATATGCCTGTAGGCATATATAATATTATTTTAAATTATAATGTATTAAAACATAATTCCTCGACATTGTCCGGCAATAATTATGTTTTTTACATTATAATTTAAAATAGTATTATATATGCTTGTATGTTGTATGATAAATTAAATGTCCCTAATACTGCCACTTTATTTATTTTACTTAATAAAAACATAACGTACGAAGAAATGTGTACTGAAGATTGTATTATTAACCCTGCCCAACCGCAGGATTCTATTTGGAATCGTTAACTCATTAACCTGAAGATTCAGTATGGCATCGTATTGTATAGTATAATTTTTTGCCGTTAAACGGAAAAGTTCTCAAAAATATTATTCGGGACCCCGAAGATGTTTTAGGACCCGAATACGTTACGTCTATATACCTATACGAAATGTATGTGCCGCAAAACTCTGGTTACTAAAATAAATACAAAGTACAAAGATATGATACAAAGTATAAAAGAAAATTTAAAAGTGATACAATATGTTTGTACTACCGCTGACATATGATGGTCTTCCTATCGAAGAAGTTTCCTTGGCATGACTGTACATTGAATAGATTAAAATTTTAAACGACAATCAAATGCGATAGCTTGTTCAAGATTCAAATCTCCTCATACATACAATCGAATTGCAGCATTCATCATGGATGTACATAAGCGATTTCATTTAAATCATAGTAAAGTAGTCTGTACTGTCACGGATAATGGAAGCAACTGCATTAAAGCTTTCAAACAATTTAATTATAGCATTGAGACACTTGAAACTGCCGAGCAAAATTCAGAATATACGGAAGAACCGGAAACAGTACATTTTGTGAGTGTGTGCAATATTTTAAGGGAAGCAGATGATGTAGATAAATATTATACTTTGTCTAGGCATCATAGATGTTATAGTCATACACTCAGTTTAATTGCTGGCACAGACTCAAGTAAAGTTTGCGAAGAAAATTTAAGTTATAAACAAGTGTATGAGTCTGCTATGTCAAAATGCTCAGCTTTATGGAACAAAATTAATCCATCTGGATCGAAAGCGAATGAAAAATATTGTAATGTTATTGGCCGTTCACCAAAAACATCTTGCCCTACGCGATGAAATTTTTTATACGATTGTATAAAAGAATTATTGAAAGCAGAATCAATTATTGAAAATGTTCCGAATAATGTCATATTTGGACTCATTTCCACCGGCAGAATCTCCTCAGTTCATTCGTGACACTTTAATGAATGTATACTGAAAACTCTATAAAAGATTAAATTTTCGTTCATGCGTGTTAGGTGTCATTCTTTATCTGTTTACATTGTATTTCGATCGCCAGTCGCTGGTTTTCAAGTTCAGGCTTCTAGTCCGGGAGCCACTGAACTTTTTTCTTACGTCGTATGATTACAGCTGAAAAGTTGTGAGGCTTTAGTTAATTTACAATTAGTCAGAAATGAGAAAATCGTAGTTTGGCAGCTTGGACACGTTGCGTTTGAAAAAATTACAATATCCTTTCGTTATATGATTACGGTTGAAAATTATTTTGGTAATAGTTTAAGTACTAGAAAGTCATAAAACATTTGTCTGGCTGCCCACCCACGCTGCTAAAGTTACTACGTCTATGCTTAGCCAGTCAAAAATTTCTTGCAATGTGCTTATTCGAGCTGCCGAACGTTGAGCGTCAACGACCTGAGGTCCACACTGAGCATTTAAAATGAAACAGAGTATCTGTCAACGGGTCTGATAGCTGAGTCGAAATCGAACCGAGTCGATATCCCAAACATCCCAAGGCGGTTTCACCGAATCTCTCTTCGTCGAATCCGCCTTACTAAATTAAGATTTTTTACATTAAGAATTTATTGTTTACCAACCGATCTCATGTCTGAGCCGCAAAATACTGCGCTTTTCTCGGTCGGACTCGGCAGAGCGCCACCTGTATACATTGTATCGCTTTAAATGTTCAGTGTTAGGCCCGTTTTCACACATACACGGCGCGTTATCAAAAGTTATTTAAAGGTTTATGACGACCAATGCCAACAATAAATCAGAAAATATAGATGATTTGAATCTTTTTGGAAATTGTTTATTAATTGTTATTTCATTCTTCCTGCATTATTCGAGTAACCAGCCCTACATTAATATGAATGCTCACTTGTGATTTCGAAAATTGAAAAATGTAATTGTTAATTTAATGAATTAATAAAATACCAATTGTAATTGTTAGCTAGTTAGTAGATCGAATTCTATTCAACACTAATCGTAACAGAATAATCAAAAGCTACTATTTTACAAATTTATATGATACATTTAATTTACTATTAAACCAAATTAAAATAATGTTACATAAAAGTTAAAAATACCACGAGGTTTACTAACTTTACACACAAAGTTTAAAAAATTGCATAAAAATTCAAACATACTGCATAAAAGGGTAATTATTTAGAACATGCTCATCAGCGCCGATTTCAATGAACTGGAACGTTGCTACGAGATACAAACGATTAAAAATGTTGAAAATCGCAGTTTTTCCCGACTTTCGATCTACAACTGTAGTAAATCTAACAATTCTCACATCTTTTGATGTCTGTCGCTCGTTTCTGTATTAACAGATTTCAATGAAAGTTTCAGTATGTACATAACTAACATAAATCTTCGATATGTATTTATTAAATTTTCATTATAGCCTCAGATTAAAAAGTTGTAAAACACGACCTTTAATATTTTCTTCGCGATTCGGACCAATTGCAACTTTCTCAAATTTTATTTATCACATCATTTAGTAAATTAATGTCTCTAACTTCACAAAAAAAACTCAAGTCATTTGGACCAATTTTAAAAGAGTTGTTCCGTTTTAAAAGGATGTACGAATACTTTTTACACCCACTGTATAAAAAGAAAAGACTAGTTTGGAGTCGCTGCTGGCGCACAGGCTGGCACAGGCTGTAGTAGCAGCAGTTTTTCGCGGATGTCTCGGAAACTAAAAGAGACCGCCTATGATATGTATAGGAAAAAGTTGTTCAGAATTGTGGTCTTGACGATATATTTCAACGTCATTGAAATTGGTGCTGAGGACCATGTTCTAAATAATTACCCAATTTTCTCATTTCTGACTTATTGTAAGTTAATTAAGGCCTCACAAATTTTCAGCTGTAATCAAATAATGTAAGAAAAAAGTTCACTGGCTCCCGGACTACATAGAAGGCTAAACGTGAAAGCCAGCGACCGACGATCGAAATACAATATAAACAAATAAAGAATGAAACGTAACACACATGAACGAAAAATCTTTTATAGTTTTTAGTACACATTCATTAAAGTGTCACGAATGAGCTGAGGAGATTCTGCCGGTGGAACATAAGTAGAACATAAGTTTCTACAAAATTCCAGTTTATATCTGACTGACCCTCGTCAAAGTGCTTGTACAATAAATTATAGAGAACATAAAGGACTTACGACTGCCACGGCGTCCGACGCGAGAATCTCGTCCTGCGTCAAAACCACGAAGTAAGCTACGTTCGCTAGTACGTATATCACCGTGACCAGCGGCAACGATATGCAAATAGCCTTTGGTAGATTCCTGCGAAAGTAACAACAGGAAACTGATATTTAATATTGCAGAATTTTATATTTATATAAACATTCGCAGCCTACTCGTTAGAGGCCAGAGTTTGTCGTGATCTTGGACATACGATTTTCTCGAACAGTGTTGAGCACTAAACGACTAAAATTTTTAATTTCGTTGATTGATTAGTGCTTATAGTTAAAAAAATTAATCGTAAAAAATCTCGATTAATTTAAGCAATTAACAAAGTCGTCAAGCGTTGATTACAAATATTAATTGTTAATCATCAATTGATAAATAATTATGATAAAAATTATTTTATTTATGCTTCTTCTGCATGACGCACATGCGGTTTATTTTCACCACATTTGATATTTTGATCAAGTTATAAATCAAATAAATAAATTTGAATGAAAAATAGTATACTAAATTAAGTTAATGAAATAATAAAAGTAAATAATAAATTTTTTTTCTCTTTTTATATACAAATAAATTAAGTTCTTTCTGATTTGAAAAGAAGTACGTCGCAACTTTTGGTAAGCACTTCTTTACAAAGAAATATGCAGTACCGTGTAATATGGTTCGATGTTACATTGGACTTTTCGTTTTTAAGATAAATTCAAAAGTATGTATCCCAAAACATTGGTGCAAAATTAACCAATCTCTTCAAGATTGTTTAAATATACTTCAACATTCATAATGTATTAAAAATTGATTTTTCGTGACACTGTTTTGACAAATATCTCAAGACCAGTGTTGTGCAATATTTAATCCAATTAACGATTAATAATTGCAATTGACATATATGATTATCTATCGCCATTGACAATTAAACTTTTAATTCGATCGATGTATAATCGCAGTGAATAATTGAATTCGATAATTAATTGTAAATTAAAGTAACGATGAACTAATAAATTGAAATTTTTGATTTCACGCACTCGTTATAATTACAGTGTAGAACAAATTGTTATTTTTTTTAAGCGCTTCGATTCCCACTGCGTTTCTGATAAGAGTTCCACGCGGTAGTTACAAATTTGCAAACTGTTTTGTTTCCTCACTCTCAGTTTTGTAGAAATTTAATGGTAAAAAAAAATCATATGTTTCGCACATAAATAAATTTTGTAATGTAACTATAGAGAAACATTCAATAGTTGTTGTATGAAAATATTTTGCATACTTTTCGAAATACGCTCTGATATCACTTTTTAATACATTATGAGTGATGGAGTATATTTATACCATACAGCTTTTGTATGAACATTTTTGTTTGATAATTTCAATTTCTCGTGAATATCAGAAAGATATCGAAAGATGGCGTTTCGTCTCGGGAATCGTCTACCAAGCTCGTCAGTGGAGCTGACGGTAGACGACCCCTAAACCAGGCACCTGGGTTGCTTCTCGGCGGAGCCCCTTAAGTAGCCAAAGGTACTAATTACCGCTTTTGCGAGAAAACTCGCCACCTAGCGGCCGCTACCAAAAACCCAAGCGACTGGGAGAAACGTCTCCACAGATCGCCTGTCCCATCAGATCTCCTACAGTTCAGTCAGCCTGACCATCGCGACCGTCCTCGGTCACATACACAAAAAGTGACACGCACCAAGCTCGAGGGCGCGAACTGTAAGAGATCTGATGGGACAGGCGGTCTGTGGAGACTTTTCTAGAGGTTTATAGAGGGTTTAATAGTAAATACGCTGTCATCGCCTGGGTCACTTTTAACCCAATCGTACAGTAGCCTCGAATAGTAAGTTGCTCATCCAAAATGCTGCTAAAATAAATGCTGAACATGCTAGTGAATCTCCAATAAATGTCAGAAGAAACACAAAAACCTTTCATTTCATAGCAATACCACGTTCATCATTGTTCTAAAAAATTAAGGCCCTTTTCTCCTTTAGCGGCGGGAAAGAAAGTAACACTTAGGAATTTTTTTTAAAGAAAGCAAAGAACTCATGGTATCAAAACGTCGTCGCCTTTATTTATTTATTATACATTCAGGTAAATAAAAAAAAATTTGCTTTCAATATTCCTGCATTGTTGGTGGCGCTAATCGTGTTTGATCCGAAATTGCACTGTATACAAACGGTGCTTATCATAACGTAAAAAGTTATTAACCGATGTTGAAAACTCTTGTGGCATTCTTTTTGTAATCGAATCAGCTATCGTATGACCTACTATTGAAAATTTTGAAGCATAAATTCTTTTGTTATTCACAATAATATACGTACAAGTTCCTTCTTTTTGGCATGTCGTTTTTAAAACTCATACCAAATGGGGCATTGGGGTTGGAGTAACATATAATAATCTTTTTGAAATTTTGATTCCGGACTATGCCACGTCGATATATCGTGGGCACTGTTTGCACAGTGCAATCTTGGATGAACACGATTAGCGCCGCCTACAATTTGCCACGCTGCACCAATATTGAAACAAACATTTTTTTTTATTTACTTGAGTGTATAATAAATAAAGACCAGGAAGAGCTTTTATCATATCTTTTTTACATTCTTTAAAAAAATGCCTAAACATCACCCTTTTTCGGACCGTCAAAGGGGAAAGAGGCCTTAAAACTATTAGAGTAAGTGGTCACTTGCTTTCCGTGGCAACTATATACAGTGTGTTCGTAGTAAATTGGACCAGCGTTTTTCTCGTAAACAGTAAGTATTTTAAAAAAATGGAAGGGGAAGAACTTACAGTATATTTTACTGGCAACACGATAACCAATGTCAATTTCTTATATTCACATTACCTACTTTTTGGGGAACCAAAGTTGACCTGCAGTTTTTTAAACAGAATGTTACATGTTTTTTAATGTCATATGAAAGCGTGGGTCAAGATGAATTCACTCATATGTAACACAATGACTTTCAAGGTCATACGAAGTCAGAAATAAGAGGACCACCCATGGATTTTGTATGGGTTCATATTGAAGATATTGCTTGTACTACATACAAACTAAGATAAAAAAACGCATGTGTATTCATAACCAGTGCAACATTAGCACAAAGTACCAGGAATGTAATCAACAGAGGTCAGAAATACATTCTTGCTAATGGAAGTCATATTGAATACGATATGTTGTCTCATCAATTTGTAGTCGCAACATGCTAATATACATATACAATGTTACGAAATGTTCAATCTACATATTTCTTTTATTTCTGACCTTGTATGACCTTAGAAGTCATTTTGTTACAAATGAGTGAATTCGTCTTGACCCACGCTTTCATGTGATATTAAAAAACATGGAATAGCATTTCATTTAGAAAACTGAAAGTCAATTTCGTTCCTTGAAAAATAATGTAAATATAAAAAATTGACACAGGTTACCGTGTTGCTAATAAGATATACTGTAAGATTTTCCTCTTCCATTTTTTTTTTTGAAATACTTACTGTTTACGAGAAAAACGCTGGTCCAATTTCCCGCGAACACCCTATATATGTACATATTTCTTCCATTACCCACACTCCTCAAAAAGTTTCGTTTCTCTATTACTATAATATGTCTTTATAGAGGTTGCATTCTAAAGTTTTCGGATTCTGAAAAGAAAAATAATGATCAGTATACATACCATAAAGGGGGATAAAACGCTTATGAAACGTGAATGGGTCACTTCGAGCCGACTGTTCCTCCTACCGTTAGACACGAATGTTTCTAGTTTCTAGTAAATTTAGATCAGGAACTGCCTCTTTTGTACATTCTCAGTGGAAACGGCATACATGACGTGCACCGACCCAATAATAACATCGAACGCGAGCGCAAGATACATACTACTTACATGCATAATATACATACATATAATAACCGCAATATACAAGAACGCAGCACGTGGACTGTTTGCACGGTACACGATCCGTTCATTGGTTGACGCGATCGCGAACAATGGACGATGATAATTACTTGTACGGATCCTTCAGTTCCTCGGTGACGAAGTTCAAATAATTCCAGCCCGAGTAAGAGAACAGGCCGGAATAAATGGCCAAGGCGACGTAGCCGGGTTGAGTGTTGGTACCGGCCATTGGGTCCCGAAAGTTCTCCGTGTGGCCCATGCAAAGCCACCAGAGTCCCGCGACCATGATGATCACGAGGGCAAAGATTTTGGTCGCAGTGAAGATGTCCTGCACCCTGGTTGCCCATTTCACGTTGTAACAGTTGATGGCGGTCAGTATACCTGCGGGCAACAATTACTTTCTTACATGGATTTTATTCCTTTCCTCTTTTAGAAGTTGACAGTATCAAGCTGAGAATGAGTGTAAATCGAATGTAACATTTGTGCGCCAATTTAAAAAATTTGGATATAATGGTGTCCAAAAATAAGTGTACGTCTCTAAAAGGGATATTTTCTGGGGTGAACCAACTTTTTCCTAAGCGAAACAAACACCCCTTTCAAGGACTTACACCAGCGCTAGTCAGCGTAGGGGCACCTCATGCGCCTGTTTCCCCTTCCAACCTTTTTTTCGCACCGTGTGCCTTCGTAGAAACAAAGAATCCCAGATTCTTGTCTCTGTCACTCCATGGTAACGGTGGACGGTGGTGGGGACAAGTTTTAGCTCCCGGGAGCCAACTTTGCCCACCGCTGACTTACACCTATTTTGGGACACCCTGTATGTACATATGTGTTCCAGCAGTTCCTTCGGATGGAACATATGTGTCTCGATAAAGTTAAATAAGGTTAAACATTGTCGATCTTCTGTCAGTGTGTTATAGATATCTTTTTATTATACAGGGTGTCTTATTTTAATTTCCCAGGGCAAATATTTCGAAAAATATGAATCTTAGACGCTGGAATGTACAGGCTTGGATAAAGATCGTCACTTCCGTGCTGATGCAACGATCTAGATTTTCCAGGAATTACAGTTCCGATCGGAGGATGCATACGTGACTTTTGGAACGATTTTCGGGTATATAAAGGGCCACGAATGTGTCCTCGACGATCACATTTCGAATCTGACTTCCATAGACGAGAGACGTATTTGCAAGATCGGGTTAATCCCCTTCAAGCACTCATAACCATACAGTACGTACATTTACTGTTAGCCATTACTTTAATGTGACCCCGCACTCTGTCTTGGTGCGTGAACATCGAGGAAGGAATTAGTTTCCGCGACACTTAGAACTTAAACATTTGTAAAGTCCTACGACTAATATAGAATATATTTATATTACTTATTCTATAAACGTAGAATTCAATTCATTTACAAGCCTTGAATCGAGTAAAACCCACAACACTACACTTTTACCGCTCGAAGCGTACTGTATTCTTCATTACAAAGTTACGAAGCCAACCTATTCCTTGAACCTAAAACGGCTCCTGGTGATGAAATAAGCATTGGTTTGTTCGCTCCTTGAAGTGGCTCCCGGTGGTGAAATAAACATCGTTTCGTACACGACTTTAACCGAAAAACCTAGTGGCTCCCTGTGATGAAATAAGTTCAGGTTCGTCCACAATTCTCCTACCAATCTGTGTGGCTCTCGGTGATGAAATAAGCATCGGTTCATCCGTGATTTTCCGTCGTTCCAGCGGCTCCCAATAATGAAATAAGCATTGGTTCGTCCGCTCCTGACACACTACCTTACTTCGGCTACGACAAAAGCTACCTTTAGCCCTCGGCTCGTAACACCATTTACGTACGATGTTGGCAGAAGTATGAACCGAATATAAGAATGTGTACCTACTATTTTTAGTAAATACATTCAATTTCTAGATAATTGCATACATTTTCCACAGCACATTAGTAAAAGCATAATGTCGAAAGTATAATTTTTGAAGATGTAGGTAATGTGTCTCAAAAACGCTCAGGATACTTCTATGTTCAATAAGATGAATAAAAACGTACGCTACGTTAAAATTGTTTAGAGAATATATTAATTACGCGCACAAAAAATAAGACTTCTACCACTGGCTCTGCAGCCATATAAACTACCTAAATAACATGAAACAAAAAGTTTGCAATTTTTTCGGACGAAAAATAAATGGTTTTTGAAGAAATACGTCCAGAAATACTTATATTCAGGAGCGACATATGAGGAGCTAAGTGGACCCAACGTCTCTGCGGTTTGTATTATATCAATCGAAAGGTATTTCTATTCTAGGTGTTATCTTTTTTTTATACGACAAAGAATGGGGTAGAATAGATTTACTGTCACTTTCATCAAGTATAAACAGTACAATGGCTAATGGAATTATTAGAATCAGTATGAAAAATATGTTTTTTTTTCTCTTTTGTTTGTACAAGTTTTTACGCTGGATCAGTTTTAATTAACAATTTTTCACTAAAAGTACACAAAAAGATTAAACTTGGCTCATGTAATTATAAAAAATACAGTTAAAATCGTGAAAACGTTAATTTATGTAGGTGGCTCTAACAATGTAATCACCCATTGTATGTAATGTGTATAATTGTATATGTACAATAATTTGTGCCTAAAATATTGTGCTAATTAACCATTTGCAGAGATAGATACAGTCTGAAGTGTTCAAGCTACAGTCTTACTTTCTACATCCGATGATAATTACTCATAATCAATTCTTCGGATAAGGTCAACGTACCGTAATCACAGCCGAGAAGAAACAATGTCTTTCGAGGGTTAGGTAATTTCCTGAGAAAAGGCTTTGCCGATTGTTATTACATTGACGCTGATTACTACTACTATACAAGTTACTGAGGATAATTAAAATAGAGAATGAATTTCAGTTCTATTCGGCCATTCTTTTTACGTGTATTGAAACATGAACATTTTAAGTGAAAAACATAATTATAGGTGATAAAGATGAATCTAAGTTTTTTAAAAAATGTACTATTTCGGCGATAGATTCTACGAAAGGATGGCAGTTTAAAATATCATCGGAGAGTCAAATTTAAATTTACTTTAACCAATTAATGAATGTGTAGACAATTGTTCGGATAATAATGAAACGCAAATGCGCTTGTGTCTCATTAACAAACATCTACAGAACTTATCTAACGTTATTTTGTCTAATAACATTCGCATAATGATCAGTATAATATGAAATGTCGGTAGCAAAGCGACCAATTTATGTGCAAAATAATTAAAGGGTTATGCCTACCTGCGAGCTCGAAAAAAGACATGTACTTTTGAAATTTATTTTTAAAAAAACTTGAACACTTTTTTAAACATACGTCATTGTATTCACAAATGTACATTTTAAAGTGCTTATAGTAACTTCTTCCTGCGGCGTTTTTATTTTAGGCGTTTGACCACTGTAACTTCGAGTTCGTTTATCCGAGATAAAACATCCGAGGAAATTTAGTTAATATAATGAATTATCTAGTGCCCGATCGTTCATTATCCTGACAAATTAATTTACGACAAAATGGCGGCTGTTCAAAACCGAAGTATCGATGTTCACCAAAAAAATCGTTCATTTGTGATATATAAAGTAAAAACTACGCAATGAAATATAAAAAGCCACGATCAGGCACTAGATTCTTATGTATAGAATAAGTCTACCAAAGCTGAATCAGTTCGGTGCAGGGGTCCTCGAGATATTTTGGTCACCGATTTTAAAAATGTGGTTTTGAGAAAAACACGTTTAAAGTTTCAAGTCAGATTTACAACCGAATCAATGCAAATTTTTTATATATAGTTATTCTTAGTATTACGACTTCATATAGCCTTGTGTATTTACTAACACAATCATAAATTGTATTTGGATACAGTATTCATGACTCACGCACCTCTAGAAAGGGATTCTACCACTTCGTATCTGCCCCGAAACTTCCAAGGACGTGTATACTTTAAACCAGCGTAACTCCGCCAATTTTGATCGGATCAACTTCAAACTTTCACACGATATTTCGATAATGATGTATTGTAAGAAAATATTAAAACCCAAAAATCAATTTTTTCAAAATTTATAGGTAGGCCCCCTGAAATATTTCAACTTACAAGGGACAGACCCCAATTGTTTGACTTTGATTTTAACAGGATTTTGGAGGATGATAGTATTCAGATAAAAAATATATAATAATAATAAATAATTATTACATATTATGTGAAATATTAGGTGTAGACACTTGATAATTTTAAACATATAAATAATAATTAACGTTACGTACCTTTAAGTGAGCCGGTTATTTAGCTGGTAAATCGGAGGTCCTGGGTTCACTCCCGTTCACAGAAATATACTTGTTTAATTTATAATTCTATTGCTGCAACAGTGTACTAGACGCTGAATGATAATAATAGTCATATATATACAGCCGAAATAATGTTAGATCTTTAGTAAGTGCTAGCGCATTGCGATTAAACAGTCACAAATTCCAAACACGTCAAAATAACCTCGACCCTTTACCATTGCCTTCCAAGTTATTTCTTCACCAGTCCCTTCCACATCACTCTCAAACTTCTCGATATAAGGTCATTCCAGGCGAAGTCGGACACTTTTTGACACTTGGATATATTATAGTCTTTAGTGATATACATATAAACGTATCTCGAAGGATTTTTGAAACTTTTTTAAATTGTTGATTCTACAGTTGTTTGAAAGATAGTGCTTACAGTGCAGACATAAGAGACCAAGTAAAAATTATTTCAGTTAAAAAAAATATTTTTTAACCATTTATTTTACAATTGTCTTACAGAAAAGCCGTCATAGTAGCGGGGTAATATTGAAACATTTGAAAAAAATGAGGATATAGTCGTATTTGTTCTCTTCATGGACGAATTTACAAAAATATGGAGATTTTAAAAGTGACGATATGAAAATTAAATGAAGTTAACGCTGCGTCGAATCACATAGCCTCTACCGGTGTAATTCGACGCAGCATTAACTTCAATTAAGTTTCATATAGTCAATTTTTAAGTCTCCATATTTTTGTACATTTGTCCATAAAGAGGACAAATAGTACTATATCCTTATTTTGTTTTCAAATTTTTCAATTGGGTCCTACTATTATACAATTGCAGTTCTTTAACTCCTTGCCTTACAACATCGACTCAGACATGTGATAACGATTTCAAACGAAATTTAGTGAACATCGAGTCGACGTGAAGTACTGTTTCGCTGATATTAACATTTAAGGTTTAGAATTCTTACGAGCCGAGGGCGAAAGAGGCTTCCGGCTTTGTTATAGCCGAGGATCGGTTGTTGGAATTATTGTTAGTCGTGGATAGGTCGATGGTTATGTCATCACCGGGGTACCACTAGGAATGTTAGTTGGCGTCGTAACCTTAAGTTAAATTCGGTACACCGCAAGCAGTAAAGATGTACCTTTTGTGGGTAGTATTGCTAGTTACTGATTTAACGTCTATGTTAAGGTTTGAAATGAATCTACACAAGATTACAAATGAACCTTACAAATAAGTATATATTCAAAGATAATGTTAAAGGACATTACAATTATTCTGTGTGTGTGTGTGTTCTACTCTCGAGAAGCTAAGTCAAAACCGAAGCTTGACTGTAAATTGTAATTATACTATGCTACTAGGTTTTGACGCACTGAGAACTGCGGGGGCCAGGTCTATATATGTATAGAGATACAGAATGCCTAACAGTAGACTAAATACTGTACGGTCTAATGATTGCGTAAAAGGGACTTGTACCCGATCTTGCTCTAATTCTCTCTAATAACTGTTCTTAATGACGTTGCTTCGATTTAATCTCGCCAGAACCTGGTGCAGCGGCCCTTTTTATATTCAAAAATTTGGATTAAAAAGTGGTGTGGCTGATGCTCCAGTTCCGTATATGGGCATAAAAAATTCTGTACAAGAGAGAGGTCCTTCCAAGAAATCAACTCTACCCTGCAGGAGAGTTTTCTTCCAGGAAATCCTGACTTCCCCATGTCGCCGCGGCTGCCGCCAGATAGAATAAACAGGTGTGACTCCAATTTGGCAAGGGTTGTACAAAGTTTTGTTGTGTATCTCTCCATAGTAAAACACACATACACATAAAACAATTTTAATGTCTTTTAACATTATCATGAATATATACTTATTATAAGGTTCGTTTGTAATCTTGTGTAGATTCATTTCAAACCTTAACATACAGTTTAAGTCGGCAACTAGCAACACAACCCACAAAAGGTACATCTTTACCGCTCGAGGTGTACCGAATTTAGCTTAAAGTTACGAAGCCACTAACATTCCTAGTGGTACCCCCGTGATGAAATAGGCATGGGCCCATCCACGAACACCAACCTCCTAGTTGTACCCTGGTGATGAAATAAGCATCGGCCTATCCACGAAAACATACCAACTTCTTAGTGGTACCCCGGTGATGAAATAAGCATCGGCCTATCCACGACTAACAATAATTCCAACAACCGATCCTCGGCTATAATAAAGCCGCAAGTCTCTTTAGCCTTCGGCTCGTAACATACTCAATTCCATGACTCAAAATCCAACAACACCAATTCTGGCACCACGAACATATAATAAATGCTTGTTTCTTGCATCGATACGTTTGCATATATGTATTACCATTCTGGAATAAATCGGTGCTTGTAATTGCTGACGTATAAATACACGTTGCAGCGTACTCGTAATAGGCTCGCGACTTGCCACTGCTCGTTGATAAATTAATAGCGTGGAGCTCGTTGTAAGATGGTATGATTGTGCATTGTGATACGGTGTGATTTGAACAATTTAACATGACTTGGTAGATAAACGTAACAGAATACGATGTATATGTATGCGTGTGTAATAGTTGCGGTTTCTCGGATTGATGGATGTGTTCTGGTCGACGGTTGAATGTGTACTGGCTGGTGGTTGTATGCATGGATGCTTGTTGCAACAGATTAGTTTGTGATTGGTTAAATATTAAATGTATTTCTGTAGTGGTGGAAAATCAATACTTTTGATTTGTGTATGAGGTGGAAGAAGTGAGCCTTGGCGTATGTGTACAGGGTGTAGTAGTAGTAGTAGTAGTAGTAGTAGTAGGTACAAACGGTCTCCCGGCAGGGGGGAAGTGCGATTTCCCCCCCAAGGCCCAGCCGTGGCTCATGACGCCGGTGGCTATCACACAGCCCCCGTGTACAGGGTGTAACAAAAATGTTGCAGGTCCCTGAAATGGGACATTCGTGAGGCGATTTGGAATAATATTTTCCTTAGCGAAAATGTTATCCGAGGCTTTGTTAACGAGATATTAACGAAAATCTCCGACCAATAAAAGCGCGAAACTACAGGCTCAGTTCTCGCGGTAACGTTGGCTAAGCGCTGTGATTGGAAGTCTTTGTCAAAATAACACTAAAGAACTGTTTTTAGGACAGTGAATGTTTTGCACGTGATGCGTAGCTGTCCAAGAATCCTCGTTTATGACGGTTTGATGACCGTATTGATGGCCCAAGACGCGACGATCGCCTACCTGCGTTACGTCGCAGCAGCGCATGCAGTGAAAAAACTAAAAAGACATCAATCCTACACTAATTTTCACTTCGACGACAACTGTTACAGACCGTATCTTTAATGAAAACCAAGTGTTGTGAAAGAATGTTGTGTTGAAATTGTTGATCTTTAACCCTTTAACGGTGTTTGACGAGTATACTCGTTATGAGGAAACGACCACTTTTTGGGTAATAACGAGTATACTTGTCACGTGAAAAAATAAAATACCGTTTGCTATAAAAATTGAAATTTTGTGTAAGGTTTTCATAGTATATATAAATACAAAGTAGGTACGTTTACATAGTCTGCGCTTGACGAGTATACTTGTCATCGCTTGATTTTAATTACGCACGCAGATACACATTTCCAAAACGAAATTTCACCCTTAAAAGGTTAACCCCTAACTGCAATAGACACTGAAACTTACACAACTATTATCGAGGGTCTGACAGACTGCTAATTACATCATTACGTACATACAAATACTGAATAAAGGTCAACTGCATTTTTTTCTTGCTCCATACATTAACAATAAATAATTTCATGTGCAACTGAACAACAGCAAATGTGTTCAAAACCGTATGTTTTGTGATCTTAGGTGTTGGGGGGGGGGGGGGGAATAAGGCTTGAAAATTGGGAGCGGTTTCACAGACGGCCTACAGTAGTTCAAGAGTAAAAGAAAATTTCAGGACTATACCAATAGCTTTTTTTCGAATATTAAGTGAGATGCATTTATTGTTATTGTTTATTATAAAATGACAATTATCATCCAGTATCATATACGCTGTTGCAGCAATAAAACTGTAAAGTAAATAGAAAAATATTTCGCTGTACGGGAGAATTGATCCCAGAATCTCAGATTTATCAACCCAAACAACCGTTCAAACGCAATTTCAAAAACTTCGATTTTTATTCATAGTACACCTAATAGGTATGCAACTTTAATTGTCTATATCTTTAAAATTATCGAGTATCGACACCTAACATTTCACATGTATCATTAGGAACTTGTATAGGAGAATATATCAAATAGTTCCCAGAAAACTTTTTAAAATTCAGATCAAATAATTTCGAAATAAACAATAGTTTTGACTTATAGAAATTAGAGTCAAATAATTTCCGGGAATTATTTGATATTATCCTGGTGCTATCATCTTGCAAAACCTCGTTAAAATCGAACTCGTACAGTTGGGATTCTACCCTTGTTAGTCGTTAATTGGTGAATTTATCAAACGTTTCAGACTGAATGTAGAAGAAAGGTAGTAAAGCAAGAGACTTACAAGTGATGACAGCAGCGATCAGTCGCACCGCTTCGTAGGGAGGCACGCAATCCGGCCAGATAGGCTGCAGAATATATTGCGCGAACGTGAGGGCGGTGATCGCGTTTCCGGTCGGAACCAGGACGAAGAACGCTACCCAAAGGTACAGGAACGCCGGCAAGGGACCGAAAGCGTCGCTAATGTACGCATAATCCCCCCCCGACTTGGGAATCATCGTACCTGAAACATATTTATTAATCACAAGGAGAGGGCCTCAATTTCAGGTCGTCGACTTTAACCATGTAACCCTTGTGTAGGCAACCGAAATATTCACGGTTAACCCCCATTCTAACAGATTAGATAAACATCGATAATTTTACTTCCATACTTTTCCGAAACTCTTAGTTTTCCCTTCCTATAACATATCAAGTGCTGATTTAGACAAGGACATAAACAATTGTGAAAGGAAATTTAAACAAAATGGGTACCCGGTTGCCTACACAAGGGTTAAGGGAGAAGAGACCTGACGTGAATAGCTAAAAATGAACGAATGTTTGGGAATTTATTGTGAAGAAAGTATTAAACCAATCTCTTAAAAAACTATGAGAATACTTTATTGTACAATTAAACTGAGTACAAAAATTTTAATTTTCACTACTACATAATTCATAAATATTACTGTTATACGGACCTATGTGCAACTCGTGAGCAGAAAAGGTGTTTCACGCCGGGGTATGTACCTAACTAAAAGATTATTCGACCAACGGTCCCAGCCTTGTATGTACATATTCTTTAATATCTTCTTCGCAGCATGAACCTATTGTGAAGTTAAAAAATTAAAAATTGAGAAAAGGATGGCATTAAAAAAAAAGGTAATTTTTTTCAAGTAACAAATGCTACAAAATATAATTTATTGAAACAATAAAATTATAAATGTAGGTTCATGCTGTGAAGTAGATGTTAAAGAATATGTATACGCAATGCCGGGTCAGTTGGTTGAATATGTTTTTAGTTACATTCCCCGGCGACACACCTTTCTTTGCTCACCGGCTGCACATAAATCCTTATAACTGTACTATTTATTGATTTGTCGTGAAAATAAAAATGTTTGTATTCAGTTTAATTGCACAATAAAGTATTTTCAAAGTTTCAAAGAGATTGGTTTAATAATATCTTCACAAAAAATTGCCAAAAATTCATTAATTTTTAGCCCTTTTATATCAGGTTTTCGCCTCAAGGCGTTAGGACACTTTAGACGTCAAAGATGAAAGCTATTTTTGGCAATTTTTTTGCGAAAATTGTGAAGTATGTAAATGGATAATCTATTAACAGACATTTATTGTACATACATATCTTCGGGTACAAGTAAACATTTTTTGTAAACAAAATGGCAACGCAAAAGCTCAGCCACATTAGTTTCTTTACCCCTTTCGTTCCCATTGTTGCCATACGACTATGTATTTTAAATTACGAAATAGAATATTAGTATCATATACTTTTTCGTATTTGTGAGTATAATATGTAGTTTCTTCTACATAGTCTTGTATAGACTTGTATGGTATGACACAGGTTTGAATGTGCATTTAAAAGTTTATTAGTAAAATAAGATATTATTTGTCGTCTATCTTCTTTATTTGATAGAATACAAGTGTTTGGCATTGTTACAAATACAATAGCAACTTACAAAACTCTAATTTCTTTCAAATATTTCAAGAGGGTTTAGTGATCATAGGTAAGAAAAATTGAGTTTTATTATGAATAATTACATTATGGGAATTATTATACAGGCTGGTCAACGCAACTTGCACACCTTGAATAATTTCTAAAGTATGCATTGTATGAAAAAATTTTGTATACAAAAGTCGCATGGTTTGGAGGGATACATTATGTAGTGCACATAATTTTTTTGTAAGTGGTGGCGTTTCGGTGATTTCAAGATAAACTTCGTTATTTTTAATGGAATGCTATATTTTTTATGCCAAAATATGGAAGAGTGTTAAATTCTGAGTAAAAAAAGTATCGACTTTATTAGCTCTAAACCTAATAATTAACGAATAATTTCACTTCCCTTCTTGAAAATGTATTATGCGTTATATCAAATTGCAGATTTAATACCAGCAAAGATTTCCGTTTGGTAACTACGTTTAAGAACATTAAAATATCCGGTTTCTCGAAGCGATTTACAAAGTCCCTTGAATATCCATCGACATGGCTAATTTCGTTTAGGATTTTCAAAATGCATAGCTATAAGCTCCTGTTGCATTTTTATGGCACTCGCTATAAACTAAAATCATATTCAATTTTTCGCTATTGTTAAATTTCGTTTTTACTTGATCTTACTGAGGCAATCGCGTACAAACACTGACGATAACTTAAAACGAAAACACGGACAGAATAGGCGATTGCGATCATGCAGAATCACGGAAATCTTTGCCGATATTGAATCTTCAACTTGATATTACGCACAGTACATTTTCAAGGGACGAGGTGAAATTATTCGTTAATTATTAGGTTTAGAGCTAATAAAGATCAACACTTTTTTACTCAGAATTCAATACTCTTCAATATTTTGGCATAAAAAATACAGCATGCCATTTAAAATAACGAAGTTATCCTTTACATCACCAAAACGCCTCCAGCTACAAAAAACTATATGCATTACATAATGCATTCCTCCAAACTATGCAACGTTTGTATAAAAACATTTTTCATACAATGCACATTTTAGAATTTATTTAAGGTGTACAAGTTGCGTGGACCACCCAGCATAATAACTGTGATAAATATAAGAAAGTTACCACATGGCAATGAATGAAAAACGGTACTAAACGGTTCGAAAGTATTAAAATGTTCTTGAGAACTATTTACATGTCATGTAATATACACAGAAATACGATAAAATATTTCTTCGGTTATTATTAATTTTTTAATCAAAATAATTTGGGAATGATAAGGTTAACTTGAAAACAGTTTCACCTAGAACAAAAACCGAAACATTTTTATTTTCTACATGACATTTACTAAGAAAGTACGTACGGATTTTGCGATATGTTAAACAATTTGTTTACTATGGAGATTTTTATACAGAATTATTCGGTTGAAAACAATGCTTTTTTTTATATTTCTAAAAATCCTTGCGTATTTCTTTAGTAAATGTCATGTAAAAAATAAAAATGTTTCGCTTTTTGTTCTAGATCAAACCGTTTAAAAATTATGCCGTCAATGTGTATCTATTCCTAAAAAGATCTAAAAGATTCTGGATTCCATCTAGAAGATATGTACAATAAATGTCTTTTAATATATTTCCCATTTATTTCACTATTTTCAAAAACGAAGCATCATATACGAAAAAATATTATTCTATATTTTCGGTTTGTTAGTTATTTACAGGCTGCAACTTTTATTGAAATCGGTTAATACAAAAAAAGATGTAAGGATCTTTAGATATACTACAGTTATAGGTCAAAAGTCGTGAAAAACTGCGATTTTCAACATTTTTAACCGTTTGTATCTCATAACAACTCTTAACCGATTTCGATGAAATTTTCAGTATGGATATAAATATGTAACATAAATCTAAGCAATGTATTTGTTAAATTTTCATTACAATTTCAGATAAAAAAGTTGCAAAAAGCGATCTTTACTATTTTCTTCGCGATTCCGACCAATTGCGACTTTTTTAACATTTTGTTAACACATCAATTAGTACACTAATCCTTCTAAGTTCACAAAGAAATTCCAGTTACTTGGTCCAATTTTGAAAGACTTGTTCCATTTTAAAGGGTGTATGAATACTTTTTTTACCCTCTATATATGGTTGAAACAAATATCATTGGCTTCAAAATTCCCAGCTCTATCAGTGTACTAAACCTCATTAAAAAGTTAGGTACAGATACTAATCTAGTTATTGCGCGCTCGGGACGACATGCAACAGTCGGCAGCATCCCACGAAAGATGCGGAGAGACGATTCGGCGGAATTACATTACAATTAGCGGCCCGGATAATTCAATGAAGCATCGGCTGACCTTTTTCCCCGACTTCCAAGATTGGGTCAGATTGGGTCGTGTGCGCCTCGAAACGATTCAATTACGTTAAATTGTCTTGTCCTAGGAACTGAGTCACAAACGCGGTCGTGTATACATACCGAGGAAACCGGCAATACACATTGCATCATTGGTCAAACGAGTCTTTCCCAAATTCCCACGATTTTCAATCACTGCGACGCACACAAACTTTCGTGGATGATTCCTCTCTTTCTCGGGCAGTATTGGGCATTATACGAATGTACATATTTGTACATACATATAGTAGACTCCCAATTATTATCCGGCCACATGTTGGTTGACATAAAATATCGTCGCTCTAGTTCTTAAGGTGACTCACGCAACATTCTTAAAAGATTCAACTTTCGATTGTTACCAACAAATCGCAAGGTCAACGATAAAATGATTGAAAAAGAAACGTTATAACAATTTCTTTTTAACACGAGCCTTATAGAACTGTAGTTGATACTCGGAAGGTAATCATTTCTTATTTAGTTACAAAGATGACATTTTCATAAAAAATTAGGTGGTCATAGATTTTTTTACGGAGATTATAATGCCACGGAAAAAAAAGATATGTTAACGATCAAATAAAACTAAAAATAAAGATCAAAATATGCAAACTTAGGTTTCACTGCATTTGATAGTATCTTTTATGCATGTCTGCTATGAGCGTCAACGTCACTTGTTTTCCTTTAGTTTGTTCGACAAACTTTCCAATGTTTTCTTATAAATTAAAAAAAAAAGTAAATTTTTTACAATAAAGAAAAAAATGTTTGTTTTTTCCACTTTTTTGTAGATTTTTTTCCATTTCAGTATTTTGAAGTAGTTTAAAATATTAATCATTCAAATTAACTTGGTAAAATTGATCAAAGTTACAAAGCGCCATATGGAGCCCCAGCTAGATTCGACACCAAACGCGTGAGCTTCCTCATAAGTGTTCTATCTCCATTAGTTTCTAAACTGAGAAAACTGAGTTTAAAGTTTACGAAGTTTAACATTATAAAAGCAGGAAAGTAATGAAATAAACACACTATATCAACTACTGACCAGCTATTTATTACAATATTTAACAAAATTTTATCTTTTTATCAATTTATTTTTTTAATTGTTGTTAGTATTTGGAGATACAACTATCAAGAAAAAAAACCTCAAAGTTTCGAAGTTAGAACTGAAAAGAATATATGTTGTTTTCT